AGAGGTATGAAACAGCTATCAGATGCAGAGAAATTAATAAGATTGTAACTTTTCAGCTGAGAAAAGAGAAGACTTAAGGGGGATATGATAAAGATCTATAAAATCATGATTGGTGTGGAAAAAGTAAATAAGGAAGTTATTTACTTACTCCTATAACACAAAAGCTAGGGGTCATCAAATTAAATTAATAGGTAGCAGGTTTAAAACAAACAAAAGGAAGTATTTCTTCACACAATGCACAGTCAACCTGTGGAACTCCTTGCCAGAGTATATTGTGAAGGCCAAGTCTTTAACTGGATTCAAAAAAGAACTATATACATTCATGGAGGATAAGTCCATAAATGGCTATTAGTCAGGATGGGCACGAATAGTTTGTCAGAAGCTGGGAATGAGCAATGAAGGATGGATCATTTGATGATTATCTGTTCTGTTTATTCCCTCTGGGGCACTTGACATTGGTCACTGTCAGAAGACAGCATACTGGTCTAGATGGACCTTTGGTCTGATCCAGTATGGCCGTTTTTATGTTCTTATGATCCAACTGGTTACAAGCAAGATATAAATGCCTAAGTGGACAGAATAGAGAGGGGGAGGTGCGACAGGAGCTCATTGTGTTTGGTGGCTGTACATACATGTCATTTTTTGGTAGTAATGGAGTTTTGACCTTAGTGGGAACCACTGCTAACCCTCTGAGCCCTCAGTCTGGTGGCTTGCCTGTCATATTGGCAAGCAATTAGTATGGGGGCATATAATGTCAGTGGCCAGGAATTTTAGTTGCAGAGCAAGTACGGAATTTCCTCTCATAGTACTGACCTTCATACACTCTCTCCATCTGAGTGAACGTATTATTTCCCTCTCCACCCTTCCCATATATAATTGCATAGTTTCCTTGTTTTAGCATGCCCACTAGTGGGGATTGTCATCTCTGGGGAAGGTGCTCTGCCCTGTGTTACTGCTCACAGTGAAGTGATTGATTTCAACCACCAGTGGAACCAGAAAGGAATTTCCTGCTAAAATGTTCCCATGTATTTTGGTTTTACAGTGGGCTGAGTGTTGCCTCAAGTGGTTTTCTCCTCTCTTAAAGGTCCAAGGGAGTTTCACACACATATATCCATATCCCAGGATATTTACTGAGGCTGGGATATGCTGCAGTCTTTGCTAACAAAGTATCGTCCAACAGGGAAGCTATACTGAGTGATCTACTCCATCCAGTGTGCATGTGTTGACAACTTTAAACTATTCATATCTCCTGGGTGAGATCCCTCTGTTTACAGTGAATGGTGTAGCCCTTTTACCATTTTCATGAAAACCCAATATACCATGTATGAGCATCACTAGAGCATGAATAGCACATCCCTAGGTTGAGCACCCTAATGGTGCTAGCTTGGATGGAATGGTGTAATGGACTGTAGGGCAGTCCAAGTCACCCCAGAGCACTTTAATCCAGGACAAGTTGGCAAAGACTTTGTGCTATGGGTAGGTTAATTTATCTGTCTACACTTCAGGCAATTGGACCCCCACATCACACATCTGCCTCTGGCTGTACTCTGCCCCAACACCAATGCCTACACAAGACTCACCCTTTCACAAGCGCCATCCATTTATGGTCCGAGTGCTGAAAGTGCAGGCACTGTTCAGCATGGTAATGTTTTGAGGGATACCTGGGAATAATTTTAACAAAGAACTGACATGGAAAAAGTTGGAATTAATTCAGAATTAATTAATCTATTAATTAATTAATATATTATTTCTTCTTCTCTTCTGTTAGATCAACATCAACACTGAACATCCTGCAGCATAATCTGCTCTGAAAGGCCCCAATTCTATACAGGAATATTTAGGTTACTCACTGGAGCAGTGGCTATCATACTGTGCTTATCTTCTACATAGCATGCTCTGTAGGATAGTGTAGGCTTAGTGTTCTTGGGTCTTGGCACAACAACTCTACATGCTGTTTACAGCTTACAGAAGAAGCCAGCTCACTCCATAGCAAGAACAAGGGCATTCATAGCACTTGGTACTGGTCGTCAGTGGAAGAGCAATAAACAGAGTAGTGAGTGAAAACTGCAGGGGGACCGAGAGCATTAACACCCACTTTTGGGGAACTACAATGTCACTGAGTTGGTGAACCTTTGCAATTACAAAACAAGTTGATTTGCCTACGGGCATTTCCAATTCCTCACCAGAAATCTGTAAAGCTACAGACTTAGCAACTGGTCCCCATCAGCCCTTCAGCAGACATGTTTGTCACATTTTGTAGAGGTTTTAGTCTTAGCTATTATGTTTGGCAGGTTTTCTTTTTAGCATTTGGTAATATTTTTTATCCAAAGTTTGAAAATAAATGTCCCACAATTCATTGCCAAAGGGAATGTGACAGGCCTTAAAACATGTGAGGACAAAAAATGTCTGTCTGTATACCATATCTGGGGCTAACATTCTGGTGCAAAATAGTCAGGGAAGTACACCTCTCCGCAGGCTTGCCAATCCTTCCAGTAGCAGGTGTGTATATATATTTGGTACTGACTCTTCCCTAGGTCTGTGGCTTGATTATGTAATATCTATATTCCAGTAACACCCAACCACTCCCATCAAATCTGGGCCTAAACAAACAGACAAGGGCAGTGTGCAGAACTGGTCAT